CTATTTAAATTATTTTATGTTAAATTTTATTATTTTATTTAAATTGTACTTCATAAGCATTGTTTTGATTTCATGACTATGAGTATATGTGTTCTGTGCGAATGAATGATAATTTGAAGAATGCTATGTGAATACTTATGTGTTTAAAGCCTAAAGTATGTGCTATGAGAATTATAAGTATAATTGTCATGCCAAGTGTCAAGGGTTCTATGCGGTCCTTCTGGACAATTCTATGTGGTCCTTCGGAACAATTCTATGTGGTCCTTCGGAACAATTCTACGTGGTCTTTCGGGACAAATCTATGTGGCACTTCTGTGCATATTCTACGTGGTACATCGGTGCAAATTCTACGTGACAGTTTCGACTGCAATTATAGTGCACAACCTCAAAGTACTCACATACATTGAGTTCTCAGTGATATGAATTGGGCTAATTAAGCAAATTGATATGGATTGAAAGTGCATAACATTATATGTTATTTATATGAAATGTATTCTGATTTCCGTATTCAATGTTTTCTCCGAAATATTTAATCAAGTGTTTTATTATTTTATTATACTCATTTATGCCTCATTAAGTCAAAGACTTAGCGTTTGAGTGTTTTCACACGTATGTTCAAAGAATACAAAAGAGTAAAACTAGGTCGGGACAACATATCTTTGGTGAAGATCAAATCAGATCATACCGATTTGAATAGTTGGTGGTTTTGTTATTTTGAAGTTTTGTTGGGATGTACTACAAAAGTTTAAATAGCAAATGTTGTGATCTATTTTGTAGCTATACTATTGAAAGTTTATGTAAATATATTAAGTATTTATTTTCATCGTGAAATATTAATTTTCGATAATAACTTTTGTATGAGGGCTTTACCACAAAAATAAAAGTAAAAATTCAAATTTTAAACAGATTTTCAAAGAAGAAAAGCGTTGAAAAGTCACTGTGACACCTCAAATTCGTATCCGGATCGGGTACGGGTTGGGTATTACAAGATATATCTCGTAACTTCACTCTGACTTAAGGGTTCTATGACTTTACATACGTACCCACGACAGTTTACTGCAACCACGCTATTTGAGGTCAACTAATTCTAGTCAGACAACACTTGAGGTACTTGGTCTCCTTTAACCTTAAGCACTAAAATCCATGTGGCTATTTGACATCGTATGAAACTAGGCATGCATATAAATCACGCTCTAATACGAACACGAAGATAATGAGGACAAAGTTTGGGGTCGAGAACTCAAACTCATATTTAACTACACAGGAAGACTTTATGGTGTAGTTAGGGGTCACATAGCATTGCAGGACTTACACCCTACAAATCTATTAACAAAATTACTTTAGATGGGGCCTAGACACACTCACACTAGGGACGTCAATCACAGAAGGGTTCGATGTACCGATTATGACTTCTTTCTTGATAAGATGAAAGCAAGGCTTAATGGCTGGTCTGTTCATACTTTGTCTTTGGCAGGTCGGATTACTCTTGCCAAATTTGTCTTGGCAACTATTGATACTTACTTTATGTAAATTACTAGTTTACCGAAGGGAGTTTACAATGAAATTGACAAAATTATTTGGTAATTTATTTGTGAGTCCTCTCTTCAGGACAGTAAAATCTCTTTTGTGGATTGGTCCATGATTTGCCAACCTTTGTACAATGGTGGGTTGGGTATTCATCGCGTACGTGATAGCAATGAGGCTTTCTTTTGGAAGCTCGGTCATGCTCTTATTTCTCGTCCCACTCTTTTTCAGGTACAAGTCTGACGCCAGACAGAATAGTGATTATCCTGTAGGCTAGCTCCGACAGACGATTCACAAGAGAAAATTCGCCCAAAAACCAGAGAAAAAGTCTCTAGGGTTTAATAAAATGTTATAAAATCAAAACTGTCAAAAAGCAGTCCACAAGCCAGACTGTTATAGCAAAAAAAATCGTCTTTATTCGAATTTTGCCAAAAATAGCAAAATCCCGAAAATCACTCTAAATTGAAATTCGAAATAAAATAAGCAATCTCCCAAAAATCCGGCCTAAATCGGATTTAAATTGACTTCCTAATTAACAATCGAAATATTACCATAAATAGTAAAAAATAACTAATCTAGTGATTCGGAGGGGAAAACGGCAGAATTTGAGGTTGAAAAAAGGCCACATGGAGCGTAGCTCATGTGGAGAGCGTGCGCGTCGAAAAGAGCTTTCCGGATTGGGGTCTTATGCGCGATTCTGACACCTGTAGCCAAAGTTATGGCCAAAAGACTGAAACATACTTAAAACGACCCCAATGAGGAACATGTCACAATCAATTCCCGCCTTTGCGCTGATCTGCCAACTCATGGTATCTCAGCGCCATCAACGTGCAATCTGACAGCTCAGCATCATCTGTCTCGGATCCCCTGCATCAGTCACCCCGGGTTGGAAAGAACTCGTCCTCGAGTTCAGAGTAGTGTCATCAGGATCCACAAAACAATGACTCAGGTGCTTCACATTAAAGACATCAGAGTCTTCAAGTGACTGGGAAGTCGCAACCTGTAAGCATTATCATTGATCTTCTGCACGACCTCACAAGGTCCAATCTTCCGATCCTTAAGCTTATTATACTCACCAACAGGAAAACGATCACGAGTTAATACAACCCAAACAAAATCACCAACATCAAAAAGTACCTGACGACGATGATTGTCAACCCGAGTCTTGTACTTGGTATTGCTCTCATGAATGGTCTGTTTCACCTGCTCATGGATACCCCGAAGATACTTTGCCTCTCATCTGCTTTAGGACTGAAACGTCCTATACGTGGAATAGGGGCTAAGTCCAACACCCCGGATGGGTTCTGACCATAGACAATCTCAAATGGGCTTAAACCTGTGGTTCTGTTTTTGATCTGTTGTAGGCAAATTCTGCCTGAGGCAATGCCAAATCCCACTGCTTCGGCTTCGTTCCTGCCAAACACCTTAAAAGGTTTCCCAAACTTCGGTTCACCACCTCAGTCTGGCCATCCGTTTGGGGGTGGTAGGCGCTACTGAAATTCAACTGCGTTCCCAGTTTCCCCCACAGGCTCTTCCAGAAATGACTGATGAACTTAGTATCACGATCTGAAGTGATGGATCGAGGAACACCATGTAAACGCACAATCTCCTTGAAATAGAGATGGGCAATCCGGTCAGCATCCATAGTCTTTCTGCAGGCTACAAAATGAGCCATCTTGGAAAACCTGTCAACCACAACAAATATAGAATCAGAGGCCCTTTGGGTGCGGGGTAAGCCTAGTACAAAATCCATGCTGACATCGAACCAAGGAGCTTCAGGAACAGGTAAGGGAGTGTACAATCCCGCATTGGTGAGAACTCCCTTAGACCGCTGGCACACATAACAACGGTCCACATAATGGGCCACATCACTAGTCAACTTGGGCCAATAAAATTCAGAAGAGATAAGGGCCAATGTCTTATCTCGACCAAAGTGTCCCTCATTATGGAGTTCACTTATAATTTGCTGCCTCAATGAACAATCTGGAATGCACAATTGTAATCCACGAAACAGATACCCATTATGCAAAACAAAATCATGACGGTGACCCTCTGTTACCTCCTGAAATATCCTTCCAAAGGAAGGATCAACTGCATACATATCTGTGAACGTCTCAAATCCTGCAACTTTAGTACTCATGGTGGTGAGAAGTAAGGTATGACGGCTCAGGGCATCTGCGACGCGGTTCAAACTCCCTGCTTGGTGCCTCAGCGTAAAAGTGAATTCTTGCAAGTATGCTACCCACTTGGCATGACGTCTACTCAGCTTGTGTTGGCCATTGATGTACTTCAAGGCCTCATGATCGGTAAACAGAATAAACTCCTTCTGTACTAGGTAGTGACGCCAATGCTTCAGGGACTGAACTATGGCATAGAACTCCAGATCATAAGTGGAATAATTTTTCTTTGATCCCAATAGCTTCTCACTGAAAAAAGCAACCGGACGACCTGCCTGACTCAGAACACCACCAATGCCAACGCCAGATGCATCACAATTTACCTCGAACACTTTGTCAAAATCTGGAAGTGCCAAAACTGGAGCCTCGGTCATCTTCTGCTTGACCATTTGAAAACTGGCCTCTGCCTCCTCAGACCACTGGAAATCACGCCCCTTGAGGCACTCTGTGATAGGGGCGATCAGAGTACTGAAATTTCTAATGAATCGACGGTAAAAGACGCCAAGCCATGGAAACTTCGGATGTCATGTAAGGTTCTTGGTCTGGGCCACTCCAAGACTGCATCTATCTTTGACTGATCTGCATGAACACCATCAGTAGAAACAACAAAACCAAGAAAAGTCACAGAAGTAGTGAAGAAAGAACACTTCTTTTGATTGACAAACAAGCACTCCGTTTTCAGCATCTCAAAAACAGCACGGAGGTGATCGAAGTGTGAAGTCCATGTCGGACTAAAACGAGGATATCATCGAAGTAAACTACAACAAATTTCCCCATAAAAGGCCGCAAGACCTGATGCATAAATCTCATGAATGTACTGGGCGCATTGGATAACCCAAAAGGCATGACCATCCACTCATACAACCCTTGTGGCGTTTTAAACGCCGTCTTCCACTCATCTCCAGGCCTTATTCTGATTTGGTGGTAACCGCTCTTAAGGTCAATTTTTGAGAAGATCTTAGAACCAGATAGCTGATCCAACATATCATCTAGACGGGAATTGGAAACCGGTACTTCATTGTAATTCTGTATCGCTCGGCTGTCAACACACATACGCCAAGAACCATCTTTATTTGGCACTAAGCAGGGACTGCACATGGGCTCATACTCTCTCGGATATAGCCCCTCTCCAACAACTCTTCCACCTGTCGCTGCAACTCTTCGGCCTCCATGGGACTGAGGCGATATGCTGGTCGATTTGACAAACTTGACCCAGGAACAAGGTCAATTTGATGCTGAATATCCCTCATAGGTGGTAGTCCAGGAGGAAGATCCTCTGGCATCAAGTTAGAGAATTCTGCTAGCAACCGCTGCACCTCTACTGGTAAATCTGTATCCACGTCTACTGCATTGTTCTCGCAAGGTAGCAAGGCATAGACCACGTCGCCATGCTCAATCTCATCTAAAAACCTGGACATAGAAAGCAGATTAGTATTATGGGTTACTGGGGTAGGAGTAAGTCCTTCCCGCCGGGGTGCCAACACAACTTTTTTTTCCCTTGATGCTAAGGGAATAGTATTCTTCCGTCCATCATGAATGACACTACGATCATACTGCCAAGGTCGACCCAACAATATGACACGCATCCATAACACAACATCACACCAGGCATTATCAAAATATTTTCTACCAATTGAAAAAGACACGAGGCATCGCCTATCAACTGTTACCTCACTGTCTTTATTTAGCCATGACAACTTGTATGCTTAGGATGACGGTCCGTCTTCAACTGCAATTTCTGGACAACCTCCTCGGACACTACATTCTCACAACTGCTGTCAATGATCATTTTGCAGACTTTATCTGCAACTGTGCAAGTCGTGTGAAAAATATTGGTTCTCAACCAATCGTCCCCTGAATCGCCCTTGGGGGTAAGTAGACTCTTGCGAACGACCAGAGTCTCATGACCATCTCCATACAGCCAATCATCAGTCTCATCATCGTCATACACGGGTTCGCCAATCTCCTCAGTCTCGTCTTCCCGTTTTCCTCAATCAACAAATTTTTGCCCTTGACTAGCAGGCTTCCTGCAATCAGTCGCCCTATGCCCTTGTTCACCACAACGAAAACATCTAATAGTAGGTTAGAATTACCCTGCGGTGGCTGCTGAGCAGGACGGGACTCTTGAGGGCGAACTGGTCGACTGTTGTGATCGCTCCTGATCACTGGTCTCCTGTTTTGCTGTTTTTCAACAGCAAGTGCACGCTGGTATGCTTCCGAAACACTCCACAATGAATGAAGGCTGAGGACATCTTGCAAGGGCTGGCGTAAACCCCCCAAATATCGCGCCACCATCTGCTCCTCCGTCTCAGATAAATCGTTCCGGGCGACCAATTGGTAAAACTCCTCCGTGTAATCATTGACTGATCGCGCGCCCTGCCTCAACGCATGAAGTCGCTGAAATAAGGTTTACGTGTAGCCGAAGGGAAGGAAGTGGCCCTTCATCTTCTTTTTCATCTTCTCCCAATCAGTGATCTTGGCTTTGCCCTGTCTTTCTCGTGAACGTCGTAACTGTTCCCACCACGCAGATGCTCTGCCCTTGAGTTTGATGGCGATCAGTTTTCACTTTCACACGATCGGGGACTTCCTTATATTCAAAATACGCTCCACTCATTAATCCAATCCACAATCCCTCGGCCTGTAATGTACTAGAAAACTCAGGAGATCGACCCGAAAACCGAGGTCTCCATGACGCTCCTCGCGACCACGGTGCTCCCGGAATCCTGCGCCCCGGAATCCTGCGTGATTGTGATATGGGTTTTCGAAAGTGGAATTGGTATCGTGATCAGAGGCCTCACGATCCTCTAAATCCTGCACCGCCAGGCGCTGGGTTAATTCTGCGACTTGCCTCTGCAAATCCGCAATCATCACATCCTGAACGCTGCGATCACGGCGTTGGGCTTCCTCATTCGGAACCTGCTCACGACGACCACGACCACGACCTCCAGCCATTGAAACTGGTGAAATTTCCCAAGAAGATGTGAAGCGCACCAACTGACGCCAGACAGAATAGTGATTATCCTGTAGGCTAGCTCAGACAGACGATTCACAAGAGAAAATTCGCCCAAAAACCAGAGAAAAAGTCTCTAGGGTTTAATAAAATATTATAAAATCAAAACTGTCAAAAAGCAGTCCACAAGCCGGACTGTTATAGCAAACAAAAACGTCTTTATTCGAATTTTGCCAAAAATAGCAAAATCCCGAAAATCACTCTAAATTGAAATTCGAAATAAAATAAGCAATCTCCCAAAAATCCGGCCTAAATCGGATTTAAATTGACTTCCTAATTAACAATCGAAATATTACCATAAATAGTAAAAAATAACTAAATCTAGTGATTCGGAGGGGAAAACGGCAGAATTTGAGGTTGAAAAAAAGGCCATGGAGCGTAGCTATGTGGAGAGCGTGCGCGTCGAAAAGAGCTTTCCGGATTGGGTCTTATGTGCGATTCTGACACCTGTATCAAAGTTATGGCCAAAAGACTGAAACATACTCAAAACGACCCCAATGAGGAACATGTCACAATCAATTCCCGTCTTTGCGCTGATCTGCCAACTCATGGTATCTCAGCGCCATCAACGTGCAATCTGACAGCTCAGCATCATCTGTCTCGGATCCCCTGCATCAAAGTCCTTCGGTGGGTTGCTCGGTTTTTTGCTCGGTCATGCGCTAATCATCAGATTGTGCACAATGCTTGATCTTTGCTCGCATTCTATTTATCGTTCGGCTTCCTCACCCCTTTGGAGGATTCTGACTCACTCTTGGCCCCTTTTCTTTAGAATTCGATCTGGCTCCTCGGTAATGGCAGCAACTTCCATTTATGGGAGGATAATTGGGTTCCTTCGCTCGGTCCTCTCTGTGACTTTGTGCTTTCACCTCAAGCTTTTAACTACGCCCATAATCTCTATAGTCTCTTCGACTCTAATGGTAATTGGATGAAGGAAAGATTTTTTATGTTCTTCCCAGCATTGTGGTCTCTTATGTCTTGGGTGTCATTCCTCCAACTGCTGAGCATAGTGAAGACTCTTGCATCTGGAAATGGGATAGTCTGTAAAGATTTAGTGTCAGTTCCACCTATTGCAAGACGAACTTAGGCTCTTGGGATGTTGTTTATCCTTTTTATAAAATGGTTTGGTCTTTGTAGGTTCCACAATGCATACGGGGTTTGCTTGTGCTCCGCTATCGTATCTTGACTAACCATGATCATTATCGTCGTGGTTTAACTATCGATGCTGTCTATCGTTTTTATAGCTTGGATTTTGAGACCTCACTCCACGTCCTGCGTGATTGTCATGCAATCAGAACCACCTGTGAACGCCTTCTCCCTCATGTTACTTCTTAGTCATTTTTCTCCAGTTCACTCATTGATTAGATACAGTCCAACCTATTTCACATTGTTTCCGCCTCAGGTACGTCCATCCTTAGGGAATTCTCTTTACTACGCTTCTCTGGAAAATCGGAAAATGAAGGAATTTGTCTTTACGGATTCTTGCATCTTCATGGATGTTTCACGTCTGAGCGTGTATTGGTCCTTGTACTTCGCGCCTTTCTGACACTTTTCAACTCGAGCCAAACCTTACCATGAAACAACGATCATGTGAAAGGCCCCTCCTGATCGATGGTGCTACCTTAATATGGATGCAGCAGTTGACCCAATAACTGGTTTTAGCTCTGTGGGTGGTGTGCTTCGTTTTAGTGCAGAAGGGTGGCTAAACTGGCTTTTACAAGGCTCTTGGTGTTTCTTCTCTGCTTTACGTCGAGCTCTAAGGTGTTTACATTGAGCTTCAAGAAGCTTGGCCTAATGGTTCCGAGCTGCTGCTTATTCAATCTGATAATCTGCAGCTACAAAGCTTCTTGAAAGCTCAAATGTGTCCAGTGATCCGATTCCCCTCGTGCGTGCCGGCTCAGCTCTCCGCAATCACTCTTGGGTTACTGATCTTCTTTGGGTTCCTCGCTAAGGGAACATGGTTGCAGACGGGATGTCTAAACTTCTTGTTACTTGTGACTACATGCTACATAGATTCTCTAACGCCCCTGCTTCCATTTTGCCTCTAGTTGAGAGGGACATTCTCAACCCTCCTTTCATGAAGCTTATTGCTAATGTCCAAGGCTTTTGCCTCCTTGTCATTAAAAAAAATAGTTTTATTACAATTCAAGTGTAACATATCTAGGATGATTATGACGATAAATGAAAATTAATCTGAGAGGCATGAACAAAAGCATATTGATAAATTAATTAAATAACCGTTAATTAAAGGAAAAAGATATAAAATTTATTTTTAAAAATTTAACCATTAAATACATATTAGTAAAAATGTATTTGTACAATCATATTTTAATTTATTTGTTTCAAACACAATTTTCCAACCAAATTCATGATTTATTCATAAAAATATATATATTATTAATACACATGTCTCAAATATTAATTTAAATTATAAAAGTAAATAGTAATTAATTTATCTCTAATCATAATTAAAGATATAAATTATTTAGTTTTGATATACATTTCTTTAGTTTATTGATATAAATTAGTAGTTAAGCAAAGTTTGTGTGATTAGATAACGTAACTGAAATAGTTTTAAGTCCGAAAGCCTAACCTCGCCTACCCTAAGACAGTACAATAACAATTTTATTTTTATAATAAACACATATCATTTATTGATTGGTTCGTACGGAAAGCATGATGACGAAATTCAAAAACTTAAATAACAAAAAAATTAAATAATAAATTAATATGAGGATAAGATGGAGCAAATCCATTTGAATTCCCAACCAATAAAAAGAAATTACATTAAGTTCTTGTCACGTGTCAGGATCTGTTTCATTTTATTTAACATAGTCTCTCAATCACATCCCATTATAACTTCTTTAATATTATTTCAGTTGATAAAAATATTATTGTTATTATTGATAGTTAGTTAATTTAGTGAGATGAGATATTAAATTTTTTAAATAAGTTTAAGGGTTAGAACCCTGACGTTTGAGAATGAAGTAAATTGAGTTGAAAAGGATGTCTTCACCTCTACAGTATCTGATCTGGATTATTATGTCAGTAAATTAGATACCGTTGATTAATTCAAAAAGATATCTTTATTATTTTTTGATATTTTAGGTTCAAGTTCAATGAAAAGAATATTAAAGGTGTAAATGTTCAATATTAAATGATTAAAAATTATCTTTAAATATATATTACATTATTAAAAATAATATTATTTATCAACCGAGTAAATAAAGAAATATATTCCAGGATACTTATTTTTTTTTATACTTATTTGATCCCATCTTTGTGAGACATGATATTTATTTGTACCTCTGGTCATGAATAGTAATGAATATCACAAAATTTAAAATATTTAGAATAATTATTGTAATATTTAGGAGATACAAATTTGATAGTATTTAATAAAAAATTATTTAATAAATTATTTTAGTTGTTTATATTATTTGGGTTGAGAACTTCAATCAAGTTATCAGATATTTAGCTTTAAATTTCATTTCATTTGGAGATAATTTTTTAAATATTTTTTCTAATGAACTTTAGGCGAAGAGTTGATATAAGAAGTTGAAGTTGTTGCTAGCATTGAGCAAGATCAGAAGAAAACAATTTTTTTCGGGATAAGAAACTTTCTTTATATGGTAAACAAGAATTGAAATATGTATTGTCAGTTTGTGAATGAATAGAAGAATTGAAATATGTATTATCAGTTTGTGAATGAATAGAAAAATGGGTGTACAGATGAAGATAAAGGATAAGAAGAGAAAAGTACAATCCAAAAATTTAGGTTTAGTTACTAGGGTATTTAAAATTTAGAATTAATCTTAAATGCAATTTTAAATTTTTAATAATTTTATAAAAATATAATAAAAATTCAAGTTGATTTAATGGTTAAACTATAAATTATACTTCCACATGTTTTAGAGTTCTTATCTCCCTAAACACAACTTTTCAGGGGAAAAAATTCAAGCAAAACAACGTTTTGAACTTTTTGAACGTAAAAATAATCGCACCAAAATGATGTTGTTTTGATTAAGCAACCACAACAGCAACATTACGGTCCCGAGTTGCCATGTCAATGTCTCGTTAAGCTATTAAAAGGTGGAGTGGTATAATTGCAGCTAAAAAATAAATGTTAGAGTTAAATTGACAAAATTAAAAGTTTAATGGCATAAATGAATCAATGCTTAAAGTTTGATGGTATTAGGTGTAGTTTACCCTATTAAATAATATATTTAATACATCGAAATATAAATTGAAACGATATTGGTTGTTATATAAATAAATATATGTTTACAATTATTTGATTGATGCAGGTTGTGGAGAGTAACCTTTGATATTGTTACAATGTCTAACCTTTTCAAGCAGGCACTGAACTGGTGAAGGCTTAAAGTTCAATATTTTACAATTGCAAGCTTATGGTTGAATAGGGTTTTGCTTTACATCTTCATTTGTTCCATCATTTAGATTCTTTGGAAATACCATAAATTATTCCTTTTATTTATCACCACTTTTATAAATTGCTGTAACAGTTGGACAGGCTCCCCTGCTTGAAGTCGACATGTTTCATCAGAAAATGCTTTCTGTGTTGAAAAGTCAGCAAAAGTGGCTGGCCATTTTGATGTAAATGGGTGTTTTCGGTGTAAAATTAATGACACTGAAAAAATTAATTGTTTTTTGTTGTTGAAAATGTACAAGGGTAAAATACCTAATTTAATCACTTTACTTTTAGGGTATTTATAAGATTAGTCCTTAAGCTTCAACTATAAATATCGTAACCCATTTAGTTTCAAAACCATCTCAAATAATTCTAGTTTTCTCTCAATACTAGAGAATTTAGAGAGTTTCTTGAGAGTTGTTTTCTCCTTTTTTTATCAAGAGAGAATTATCATTGTTTTCTCCTTGGTAGATCGAAAGAAGTTGTAATTCCTATTTTCTCATAGTGAAATTCTTCTACCGTTGCCCGTGGTTTTTACCCTATATTATTTAGGGGTTTCCACGTAAATTTTGTGTCTCTTTTATCTTTATTTTTATTTTCTCAAATTATCAGTTGCGATTTTGCTCTATCCGATAGTCGTCTTCCGCAACAATTGGTATCCGAGCCAGATTTGAGTGTGTAATATCTGCTTATTGTCTTTGTGGTTGCCATTAAAAGGTGGATCCTCCAACATAAGAAAGTAAGAAGGTATTACCCATTCTTTGAAGGTTCCAAAGAACTATTCACGATAATGAAATAGTGGGAGCTATCGGTATTAGAAGCTATGGCAACAAAATTTGATATTGAAAAATTCAATGGGAGAAATTCCTCATTGTGGAAATTAAAAATGAAGGTAATCCTGAGGAAAGACGGTTGTCTAGTAGCTATCAGTGAAAGACCGGTGGATTTCATAGATGACAACAAATGGATCGAAATGGACGGGAATGCTATGTCAAACTTTCATCTAGGATTAGCAGATGAAGTATTGTCAAGCATCGATGAGAAGAAGACAGCTAAAGAGATATGGGATCATCTCACCAAATTGTATGAGGCCACATCGTTGCACAATAACATTTTTCTTAAGAGGAAATTGTACACTCTCCGGATGCCATAATCTACTTCAATGACGGAGCACTTAAATACGCTGAACACTTTATTTTCTCAGCTTACATCCTTAAGATGTACAATAGGAGAACAAGAACGTGCTGAACTTATACATCAAAGTCTACTTGATTCGTATGATCAACTCATCATCAACTTAACAAACAGTAATGTCATCAGTCTAGTCTTCGATGACGTTGCAGCTGTTGTTCTACAAGAAGAAAATCAGCACAATAACAAGGAAGACAGACAAGTAAATCTGCAACAAGCAGAAGCGTTGACAACGATGAGAGTGAGATCAACAGAACGTGGCCAAAGTAGCAGTCACAAACATGGTAGATCAAAGTCGAGAAGCAAGAAGAATTTAAAGTGCTACAACTGTGGAAAGAAGGGTCACTTGAAGAAGGATTGTTGGAGTATAAATAAAAACTCCAATCCATAAGGCAATATCGCAAACACTTCAGATGATGGAGATGCTCTATGTTGTGAAGCGTCAACCATCGTGGAAGGCAGAAAAAGATTTGCAGATATATGACTCATTGATTCGGGAGCAACATATCACATGACCTCAAGAAGAGAATGGTTCCATCATTATGAACCTGTCTCAGGAGGATCTGTGTATAGTTGCAAAGATCATGCCTTAGAGATCGGTGGTGTGGGAACCATCAAATTGAAGATGTATGATGGAACAATTAAAGTTGTTCGAGATGTACGGCACGTGAAAGGCCTGAAGAAAAATTTATTATCCTACGGACTGTTGGATAATAAAGTAAGCAAGATTGAAACACGAAAAGGAATCATTAAGGTGTTTCGTGGAGCGCTTGTGGTGCTGAAAGGTGAAAAGATAGCTGCAAACTTGTACATGCTGAAGGGAGAGACTTTGCTAGAAGCAAAAGCCTCTATTGCCTCATGTAGTTCAGATTCTACAATGCTATGACATCAGAAACTTGGACATATGTCAGAACAAGGAATGAAAGTCCTTGTGGAGCAAAAGCTACTTCCAAGCTTAACAAAGGTATCACTTACTTTGTGTTAGTATTGCATAACAAGAAAGCAGCACCGGTTAAAATTCAACACATCAAATTCTAGAGGTAAAAGTGTTCTAGAATTGGTTCATTCTGACGTATGGCAAGCACCAGTTACATCCCTAGGCGGAGCAAAATATTTTGTCTCATTTATTGATGACTACTCCAGGAGATGTTGGGTGTACCCTATTAAGAAGAAGTCAGATGTGTTTTCCACTTTCAAAAACTTCAAAGCGCGGGTGGAACTTGATTCTGGAAATAAGATCAAGTGTTTCAGAACAGATAATGGAGGAGAATACACAAGTGAAGAATTTGATGACTTTTGTAGGAAAGAAAGCATCAAAAGACAGTTCACAGTGGCGAACACTCCTCAAAAAAATGGAGTGGCAGAGCGGATGAACAGAACCTTGTTAGAAAGAACAAGAGCAATGTTGAGGGATGCAGGCCTAGAAAAATTATTTTGGGCAGAAGCAATCAATACTGCCTGTTATTTGGTGAATCGAGCTCCATCAACTGCAATAGAGCTGAAGACACTAATGAAGATGTGGACTGGTAAACCAGCTAATTATTCAAACCTCCATGTATTTGGAAGTATAGTGTACGTGATGTACAACTCTCAAGAAATTTCAAAGATGGATCTAAAATCAGATCGTGTGAGAAGACGTCCCAATTGGCACTCAAATTATGTTATAGAAGGAAATGTTGCATAATGCCTTTTAACAGAGGACGGTGAGCCATCAACATACCAGGAGGCAATAAACAGCTCATATGCTTCACTATGGATAATGGCGATGCAAGAAGAAATTGAAGCCCTTCATAAAAATAATACATGGGACCTTGTGCCACTACCACAAGGAAGGAAGCCAATTTGTAACAAATGAGTCTTCAAAATCAACCGAAATGGTGACGATCAAGTGGAGAGGTATCATGCAAGACTGGTGTTCAAAGGATATGCTCAAAAAGAAGGTATTGATTTCAATGAAATCTTTTCTCCTGTGGTTCGACTAACAACAGTTCGAGTAGTCTTGGCAATGCGTGATACATTGAATTTACATCTAGAGCAACTAGATGTTAAAACAGCTTTTCTTCATAGAAATCTTGAAGAAGAAATTTACATGCTCCAGCCTGAAGGTTTTGAAGAAAAAGAAAAGAAGAACTTGGTTTGCAGGTTGAACAAATCTCTGTACGGTCTAAAGTAGGCGCCGAGGTGTTGATATAAGAGATTTGATTCCTTCATTATGTGCCTTGGATATAACATACTTAATGCAAACCCTTGTGCTTATTTCAAGAGGTCTAGTGATAACGATTTTGTTATATTGCTGTTGTATGTGGATGACATGTTGGTTGCAGGATCCAACAAAGATCATATTGAAGAATTGAAGGCACATCTGGCTAGGGAATTTGAAATGAAGGACTTGGGATCAGCAAACAAGATTCTAGGGATGCAAATTCACCGAGACAGAAGTAATATAAAGATTTGGCTTTCACAAAAGAATTATTTGAAGAATATCTTGTCACGATTCAGCATGCAGGATTGTAAGCCAATTTCTACCCCTTTTCCTATTAACTTCAAATTATCCTCCAGTATGAGTCCTAGCAGTGAAGAAGAGAGGATGGAGATGTCTCGAGTACCGTATGCATCAGCAGTGAGAAGTTTAATGTTTGCTATGATATGCACAAGACCAGACATTGCACAAGCAGTGGGAGTGGTTAGTCGGTACATGGCGAATTCAGGAAAAGAGCATTGGAATACAGTAAAGAGGACCCTGAGATACATCAAAGAGACCTCAAATGTTGCATTATGTTACGGAGGATCAAACTTACTTATAAATGAGTATGTCGATTCTGACTATGCAGGGGATTTGGATAAAAGTAAATCTACTACATTATATGTGTTCAAAGTTGCTGGTGGAGCTGTAAGTTGGGTTTCAAAATTGCAGTCAGACGTGGCTACATCCACAACATAAGCAAAATATGTAGCAGCTACACAAGCCAGTAAAGAAGCAATTTGGTTGAAGATGTTATTGGAAGAGCTTGGGCACAATCAAGAGTATGTCTCTCTGTTTTGTGACAGTCAAAGTGCCTAGCATATAGCAAGGAATCCGACATTTCATTCAAGGACAAAGCACATACGAGTTCAGTACCATTTCATTCGTGAAAAGGTGGAAGAAGGGATGATAAATATACAGAAGATCCATACCAAAGACAACATAGTAGATTTCATGACGAACCGATCAATGCTGATAAATTTACTTGGTGTCGATCCTCTTGTGGTCTGACAGAAACATAAGCAACATGTTGGTACAAGATAGAAAAAATGGTATGAAGATATGTGTAAGGGTAAAATACCCAATTTAGTCACTTTACTTTTAGGGTATTTACAAGATTAGTCCTTAAGCTTCAACTATAAATACCCTAACTCATTTAGCTTCAAAACCATCTCAAATCATTCTAGCTTTCTCCCAATACTAGAGAATTTAGAGAATTTCTTGAGAGTTGTTTTCTCTTTTTTTATTAAGAGATAATTATCATTGTTTTCTCCTTGGTAGATCGAGAGAAATTGTAATTCCTATTTTCTCATAGTGAAATTCTTCTACCGTTGCCCGTGGTTTTTACCCTATATTATTTAGGGGTTTTCCAAGTAAATTTTGTATCTCTTTTATATTCATTTTTATTTATCAAATTATCAGTTGCGATTTTGCTCTATCCGATAGTCATCTTCCACAACATTCTGCAACCTCAGTTCTCACGGATATCAGACTTCTTACGGCGTGAACACCATCGGACCATGTCAGGCTTCCAAAGTAGTACCCGGCATTGAAGTTGTGGGTTGATGTAATCATCACGGAGAAGGAGATTGTCTTTGTCTTGGAGTTGGAGATCAATTTGTCTGGTTTCACTGCTATGTTTATGCCTGATATGGACTCAATGTTGGCCTTGTACTTGGAGTTGACAGGTCCGACATTTGTGACTGTTCTGGTAAGAACGGTTGGTTTTTTAAGGCTTGGGATGGTTATGGATGGAAGGTTTAAGTCCAAAATAGAGGGTTGTTTTGAAGGAAAACTTATTGTGTGTTCATCGAGCTGGACTATATCAGTGTTACTATAACCCATGGCACAAAGATATAGCACATAATCATCTGTATTCATGTCGTAAACAAGGCCAGGATCTGCTGCGTTGTTCTGGTTTACAATTCCACCTCCAAAATCGAAGGGATCGGCGAGTTTCGGTTGTTCCCCCTCGGCGAAAAGTGGTCCTCCTGATTGTTGTGCAGTCAATGCTGTAGTTAAAGAGATCAAAACAGTTCAAGAAGGCAAACCAAGTGAATACAGTTTAATGAATATACCAGGGGTGATAATAGCTGATTTAATAGCAGCAGGTGACCAATCCTGGTACAATTATTTCAACAGAGCAACAATTCCTGACACGTGGAGTAGCCATTGATGTTCCTGAGAGAAAAACGAATGCACCATTCGTTGTTTCATCGAAAGTAGGGATTGCTGCTAATATCTGCACGCTAGGAGCCGCTATATCCGGCTGTGCCTGGCAAAGATCAGATGAGTTTTTAGCATATCGATATAATTGTGAAAGAATTATTTGGACAGGCTGAGCTGAACAACCTCAAGTATAGCAGGGGCATTCGAAGTCGGACCTCGAGATGAGAAGGTCAAAATAGGCTTGCCAATATGGGTCCTTGAGGGGCTCAACCTTACTTGGGGATTACCGCAAAATTGCAGCAAAACTCAAAATTCCCTTTCCGAGATTGAATGGACTTTGTGTTCTAGTTGGTAATTAGAAAGAAGTTCCCGATGGAGTAAACTAGGTTAGGAGGGTCGCCCTCACCTTTTTAGTACCCGATCTGGATTACTCAGTCAATAGATCAGATACCATTGATTAATTCAAAAAAAAAAGTTCCCCCAAAGCAGCATTAGCAACCCTTCGGTCAAGACAACTTCCGTTCTGCTTCTTTCCCAAATAAACCAAGTACCTTTGAAGTCGATATCATCTAGATTACAATCCATCAGAGCATTCTTGAAATTGAGCATTTGAGTTTCATTCCGTAGCAGACCGCCTTGCCTTTCAGAGGACTCTAGAATCTCGTTGAAGTCACGCATCACACACCAAGCAGTTTGGGACAGGTCATTGAGATGAAGAAGGTTCCAAAAATCAGCCCTATTATTCACCTCAGGGCCCCCATAAAAACCGTGAATCTCCAAGATTTCCCATCGAGATCATTACTAATCAGAACATCAATGTGCCTATCGGAAAACGAACCAAGGGTGACTGACGAACCGATATCTACGCCATTATGAAAACCACATAACTTACGAATCCTTTCCATTTTAGAATTAGGAAGTTGTCTCTATAATGAAAAGAATTATAGGGTCTATGTCTCGCACCATGTGTCGTAGACGACGAACATTCCGGGATAGACCCAGCCCCTGAATGTTCCATCTTAATATTTTCATTGTGACTGACTGGCCCATTAAGCGGGGCCTGCCGATAGTTCACTGAAGTTACCATTCAAATCTTTGTGCTTGGAAAATTCTGGTATATCAGACTGAAAACGGGGGTTTTTTAGTCGTCTGACTGGGTGATTGGATTGTCTTCATCCTCCACACTTATCATCATATCGCCATCGATTAAGGAATTATTAATTTCCAGTTTAGATTCTTTGCTTTTTACCCGCTCCTGATTGGAATTAATTTGGGATGCAAAAGAAGGCAATTTTTCACCAGATTTGCTTGATTCCTCACCTCGCGTAATTTTGGAACTGTCACCAATTAAGGAATTTCTTTCGTTATTATTCCTTATAGTGTTGACTGGAATTTCAGGCAACACATTCCTAAAATTAAGGAACTTTGTTGAATTTTCGCCTTGATTCCATGGGTTAGTATAGCCACTACTGTTCTTCTCTCGAAGCCATCGGCTGGTTGGCTGCGTTGATCGCCTGGTCGGTGTTCGAAGGGAGACATCCCAAGCCAAATCCAAATCTTGCTTATCACTGTTCAATCTTATGGGGCAAAAGCTTTCCCCATGTCCCCATTTATCGTAGAGGAAGCAAAAAAGCGACAGTTTTTCGTATTCAGAATGAACATATTGCGATTTGCCATTTGCGAGTAAAATTTTCTTCCTTTTTTCTAATGGCTGACGAATATCCACTTGAACCCGGATTTTCATTATTTGTTTATAAACCAGTTGAATAGCAGAGGAATCACACTCTATGAACACTCCAATAAAGTTACCAAATACTCTCGCCACCTTCTCGAACAATAAACCAAACGGAATATCGTAGACGAGAATCCAATAATTGACATGAAAAATAGGCACTTGCAAAGGATCTTCCCCTTCCAATAGCTTATGAAGAATGAGCAGGTGAGAGTTAAAACTCCAAGGGCTTCCCCTTTCAAGACGTTCCACATCTACAGAATGATAAAACCGAAATAGATACCGTCCCTCCCCTAAATCTGAGATCTATAGACCTCCAATGGGGTGTCATACGTTAGCCAAAATAGTCCTCATGGACTGAAAATTGATAACGCTCGATGTAAGAAAAGTCCCCACAAAGCAATGTTTATAATCCTCATCCGATGTCTCGGAATCAATATCCAACATGTTGACGAAAACGGGTAAAGAAAACGAAAGAACACGAGAATTTTACGAGGTTCGGCAATGTGCTTACGTCCTCGGTGCCTAGGCGGCGCTAGAAGTTTTATTCAATGATATTTTAGGTCTATGTTACATCTCTATTTATAATAGAAAACCCTGGTACATAATTACAAAATCAACCCTGTACCGTACCGCGGGGGCTGCGCCCCCACACCCCCAACCCACATAATTCGTAACCCCACAACGAGACTTTTTATGAGCCATACATAACAAATCTCCACCTTGGCGAATATCCTGCCCCTTGGAAACTTCAATGTGGGTTGGGTTACCTTGCTTCTTTAACAACTCGAAACATTCAACAAGTCCAAGCAATGCTTGAACTTGTCTGTCGTAACTGGCTTGGTGAACATATCAGCGGCATTCTCATCAGTATGTACCTTCTGAAACAAAACCTCTCCAGATGCAACCAACTCTCTGATCTTGTGGAACCTTACATCAATATGTTTAGTTCTAGCACGATACACCTGATTCTTAGCCAAGTGAATAGCACTTTGATTATCACAAAGCAACTGAACTCCACCTTGTTGAACACCCAACTCCTTCACTAAACCAGTAAGCCATAAAGCTTCTTTTGCAGCTTCAGCCGCTGCCATGTATTCAGCTTCAGTTGTAGATAGTGCCACGACAGATTGAACAGTAGACTTCCAGCAAATAGGCCCTCCACCAAGAGTAAACACATACCCTGTCGTAGATCTTCTATTATCCAAGTCACCTGCATAATCTGAATCCATATATCCTACAACCAAAGGATTATCCCGCTGACTCCCAAAAACAATTCCATGTCCCACAGTACCCTTTAAGTACCGAAAGATCCACTTGACTGCATCCCAATGTTGCTTACCAGGTTTAGACATGTACTTACAAACTTGACTAACAGCATGAGCTAAATCAGGACGAGTACATACCATCGCATACATCAAGCAGCCAACAACATTAGAATACGGAACCTTTGCCATATTTTCAGCTTCCTTATCTGTCTTAGGGCACTGTTCTGATGAGAGCTTAAAGTGATTCGCCAATGGAGTGCTAACTGGTTTCGCGCTGCTCATCGCAAACCTTTCTAGCATTTTCTCAACATAACCCCGTTGAGATAGCCGCAGTTTCCTTGAGTCTCTGTCCCTGCAAATTTCCATTCCAAGAATTTTCTTTGCAGCACCTAAATCTTTCATATCAAATTCCCGACTCAATAAAGTTTTCAAACCGATAACATCATCCATGTTCTTCGCAGCAATCAACATATCATCAACATACAGTAATAGAAAAATAAAAGAACCATCATCAAGGCTCTTAACATAGACACAACAATCATACTCACATCGGTTGTAGCCAATCTTGATCATATAGGAGTCAAACCGTTTATACCACTGTCTCGGAGACTGTTTTAACCCGTACAAAGATTTCTTCAATCTGCAAACTAAATGCTCATTTCCAGGTTGAGTGAAACCTTCAGGTTGCCGCATGTAGATCTGCTCCTCTAAATCACCATGCAAAAAAGCAGTTTTAACATCCATCTGCTCTAAATGCAAATCCCAACTAGCCACCAATGCAAGTACTGCTCGGATTGAAGTGTGCCTGACCACAGGAGAAAAGATTTCATCATAATCAACTCCTTTCTGCTGTGAAAAACCCTTCGCTACCAAACGAGCCTTGAACTTCTTCCCCTCTTTTTCTGTTACTGCTGGTTTCTTCTTATACACCCATTTGCAACCAATCGGCTTCTTACCCTCAGGAAGGGGAACTAACTCCCATGTGCGATTGTGATTCAAAGACTCCATCTCCTCAACCATGGCTGCCATCCACTTGTCGTTTTCCTGACTAGTAACGGCATCATGAAAAGTAACCGGATCATCACTGCTAACAATAAGTGCAAAAGATACCAAGTCTTCAAAACCCAATCTGTTCGGAGGCTTTATATTCGTCCGTCTCACCCTGTCTCTGGCGAGACTATAATCCTGCAAATCATCCGTAGTGGAACCACCAGAAGTCGGTTGAGAAGTTTCTGGTTTCTCAACTGGAAACTGCTCGAAATCTACCACTGTCGTGTCTTGCTTCTGCTGCAACATAGACTGTTCATCAAAAACGACATCTCTACTAATCACAACTTTCTTCGCAACTGGATCCCAGAACTTGAATCCTTTGACACCTTTCTTGTAACCCAGAAAAATGCACTCCTTCGATTTTGCATCAAGTTTGGATCTCTCATCAGCAGGTACATGCACATAAGCAGGACAACCAAAAATCCGTAAGTTATCAAAACTAACATCATGACCAGTCCATACCTCTTCTGCAACTTTCCCAGCCAGCGATGCCCTTGGCGATCTGTTGATAAGGTAACACGCCATGTTAACAGCCTCAGCCCAGAAGTGTTTGGGAAGCCCCGCATTCAACCGCAAACATCTGGCTCTTTCATTCAACGACCTGTTCATTCGTTCCGCAACACCATTCTGTTGTGGTGTCTTGCGCACTGTAAAATGCCTCTGAATCCCATGCTCCTTACAGAATTGTAGGAACTGTGAATCTGTGTACTCCGTACCATTGTCAGACCGCAAACACTTGATTTTTCGTCCTGTTTGGTTTTCTACCTCAGCTTTCCACAGCTTGAACTTCTCAAAAACTTCAGATTTCTGTTTCAAAAATACACCCAAACTTTCCGTGAAAAATCATCAATAAAAGTAACATAGTACCTAGATCCACCCAAAGACGATGTCGTGGAAGGCCCCCATACATCAGAATGCACATAATCAAGAATCCCTTGAGTTGTGTGCTTCGCAGTCTTGAAACGG